CACCCTACGCTGGATGGCGAATTCCAGCAAGCGATGATCATGAACTTAGATCAGGGCTGTCCCACTTCTAACAGGACAGGAACGGCATGCCCCCTGGGTCATGTGCTATGTGTGCTGCTTGCCATGTGGCAGACGCCCCGCAGCAATGTGGTGGCCCCATGCACTGCAAGCCATGCCATTCCACCCTAACCATGCTGCATGGCAAGGGTCCCCCTGTCACAGGCCAACTGGGCACTGTGAGTGTATCATTTTGGTTGCAGGCTGACTGGGTGCTGCAAATGTATCAGCCACTGAGCTGTTTGTTCGGGATCGGGGAGGTGGAGTTGGGAGTGAAGCAAAGACAAGTTTCACTTATAACAGTAAAGATAAATTTTACTTATAGCAGCAAAAATATGTTTTAGCAGCAAAATATAGTTTACACGTATAACAGTTAACAGAAAGGTTAATTTAATAAACAGATAATACAACAATAAGAGTTAAGAGTTGGAGGTGATAGTAACAACAGACAGACAAATTGACAAAGAGTTCCCACTTGGTTGGCAACTTATCGATAGACCCTCAGCGCCAGGTACATGCCAAGTTGATCCAGTGAAGTCTGGTGTCCCCGATCTACATTGTCAGAGGGAGCACCGGGGAAGGTCCCTTAGTCAGAATCTGGTCCTTGCTCACACTGAGAGTCTGGAGTTTGGGCTTGGAACAGCAATGACTGTTCTGTTCTGCCCTTCCTGCTGGTCACCTGACATACATGTTCTTTTATATCTTGCCCTATGCTAATCTGTTGGCTTCAGAGCCACTCACAATCTTACTCTACAGTTGTTACCCTATGGGATTAAAAGGTGTTAGAAATTATAATAATAGGTTGCTGCCTAAACTTGGGTTTACCCAATAAGCAAATCACACCACATTGCTTTGGGGTCTGAGATTAACATTTATTCCACCTAAATTCAACCCACTTGGTTACTTCCTTTTTTGGAATTTTTTTGGAGTGTGTTAATTATACCTTGTGGTCAGGTTTGCCATTTTGACTGAACTTTAAGCAAGAACTACTAGGTCAGCTAAAGTTTGCAGTTCTGTTTTCTGGTTCTGGTTCTTGGGGCCCAATCTAGCTTTATGATCGGTACAGACAGTTAATTTTAAAATCAAGGTTATACTTGTGACAGACAGGGTACATTTTGCAGGTTACAATCTTGCAAGCTTTGCCTTAGCTAATATTAACTGTCATGCCAATTGTCTGATGATTCCAAGAAGCAGACATTATTTGTTATAATTTTCTCATTAACCCCTTTGGTTCTGGCCATCACATCCCCCCTATCCTACACAGTCCCAGCATTTCTGCCCCCTGTATGCTGTGCCATGTGCCCCCCTGCAACACTCCATGGTGAACTTCGCTCCCTCCCTTCCTCCTACTATATCATGCTGGGATTCCTGGGTCCCCCTGCTGCCACCTGCAGATTCCCTAGGACCTACGGGCAATGTTATCCAGCCCTACACCCAGGGTGGGGAGAGACTGTGCAAGCAGGCGGAGAGTGCAGGAGCCTGGAGATGGTGGCAGTAGCACTGAAATGGTGGGAGTAGTAGTACCCAGACCGTTTCAGAGGGCCACAAGTTAACCCCTTGTGAGCTGCATGTGGCTTCTGGCTTGCTAATTGGGCAGCCCTGGGCTTAAACAACAAAATGAAATTCAACAAAGGCAGATGTAAGGTAATACACTGAGGAAAGAAAAAAACAAATGATCTAATACAGAGCAGCAATAACTAGCTCACTATAGCACTAAGAAGGATCCTGGGGATATAAAAGATCATATGTTCAACATGAATCAGTAATAATGTAATGACATTGTAAGAAAAAGAAATGCAGTTTTGGGTTGAATGGTATGCAAGATGTGAGAACTGACAGTACCATTCTACTCAGCATAGGCCTCAGGTGGACTACTGTGCCCAGTCTGGGACACTAAATTTTATAGAGGTTGTAAAAAAAATCTGGACAAGATCCAGAGGCAAATGTTAACAATGATAAAGGGGCTGGGCCATAAGCTGTACAAGGTTGAAAGAGCTAGGTATGTTACTTGGAGGAAAAAAGGGGGAAATGACAACAGGCTTCAAATATCCTATATAAGGAAGAAAAAGTACAATTGTTCCTCCTTATTATAGAGGGTAAAACGAGAGACAATGGGTTTAAGCTACAGCAAGGCAGTTTTCAGTTAAATCTCAGGAGGAAAAAAAATCCTAACTGTAAATATGGTAGGGAGAAGGGAAGTTCTGGAATCTTGTTCTTTGTAGGCTTTCAAGAAGCTAGGTAAATCATCCTAGACAGACGTCTAGGCACAACAAGTGTTGCATCTGTGGCTGGACTAGATAACCCTTGAGCCCCTTCTAATCCTATGATTCTACAGGAAAATTAATTACTCTGCACTTAAAACCACACACCTCTCATGGACTTTCCTTACTGATTTAGTGTCTGAGAGAGAGGACGGGTGTTTTTTTTCTTTCTGCAACCCATTTATATCAGAACACCGACTGGCAACAGTGGCTCATCTGGTAGAAGGATAGCTGCTGTAAGACTTGGAGTCTTTTCAAGATGCTCTCAGGATGGATCCAAGGCATGGAATGTATTTTGCAATGGCCATTCTAGTAAATAAGAAATAGAACCAATCAGTTCTCTCTGCCTAAATAAAACTGCCAGCATAAAAATCTGCTCACCATCAATAGTGTATTTATTGAGAAGTTCAGACACATACTGCAGAGATTAAAAATTACTGGGCATAAGGGACAATGTTTCCCAGATCTCTGCTCTCTTTTGCACAATTGCCCTGTAAAACTGTTTTAAAGAAATAAAATATGAGTGATTTATAGTGTTCTGCTGAGTCTGGGTTTAGTATTGACATTGCTTGGCAGATAAGAACATTAAAATGTCATTTTTCTACTGAAAGTAGCTATTAAAATGTTTTATCTGCTTAAAGTTTAAAATTGGAACAAAAATTAAATTTCTAGCCAGTTAAACAGAACCTTACAGGAGAACTATGTAATTAATTATTTTAATCTTTTCATAAGCAGCTGGTTTCCTCCTGGGTATCTATTTGCATAGTACTGTCATACATTGTACAGTAAACCATTCCTCCTATGTGATGCCTAGGATCCGTTTTCTGCATTAGATGCCACCCCACAACCCAAAAAGGTTTTCAGGAGAGGTGAAGCAATATTGTGTGGCCTTTCCCTACGCTTGCCCTAGGACTGACCCTGGATGTTCTAGCTAATGAGAAATAGTTACTTGGCACCTGAACTGTGAAAGCCTGAAGAGTGAAGGGTAGACCCTAAACACAGGAAAGAAATGGACTCATTTACCAAACTACAGTTCTCACTGGCCTGATTAATTTAAGAAACTGTACTCTTTGGAACACTGACAAATGTATTCATCTCCCAAGGAGATATTTCAAAGCAAAACACCATACAACTTGGTTTTAGCTGGGAAAGGTCTCTACTTTTTATCTGTGATCAATGAATACAGATCGTTCCCCACCTCTCAATGTCTCTAGCTCCCATCTGCACAGTAATCTGTTCTGAGTACAAACTCCACTGACATTTATAAGGCATTCAGAACAGGATTTCTTTCTCTTTTTTTCTTTTCTTTTTGGCTTTATGCACTTTTGCAGTGGTAATATGAGCAGGTGAAGCAGAATTCATGCGCTAGCAAGCAAAAGCATTTCAATGAATCTATGAAAGTTTTATCAGGAAAATAGTTAGCATCTGGTTTTCTTTGCTATATTAATTCTATCTGAAAAGAGCCGCTTACCTGAATTTGAGATGAGTAATGGCATAATGATGGGATTGTGAATGGCAGAAGCTTTGGCAATCACAGCTGGTATGGAGTTCATGTAGGGTGTCAGGACATGGGAATATATAGAGTAATGCAAATTAATTTTTAGTAGCTTATTTTGCACTGTTGGGCACAATTTGGTACATGTTCAGGGACTGTACTACATGGCTGCCACCCAAGAGAGGAATGTACAGTAAGATGGGGAGGAGGTAGGGTTAACCTACCAGTGGGAAAGGTTCCATTCTGTCCTTGTAAGGATTGGCTTTATCTCTCTCAGACTCGTTTTATCTCTCTGAACACAAGTTCAGCCCAGACTTATAGCTCTAAAATCATAAATCCCACTTCCATCAACCAAGCTACCATCAGGTTTTTTTTATTGACTAGGAACTCCCTTTTCTGAATAGGCAGGAGGAATTCTAAATTGCCCCTCAGGGCACAGACAGAAGTGACAGTTTTTGCCTGATCTGGCCATAGAAAGTAGTTTATTGCCATGACTAAACACAAGCACAGTTACAGACCACTTAAATGGTAGATTGGGCAAAAGTGTGAATCCTTATTGCATGAGGTGTTGGATGAAGATGTTTCAAAACAGAGCTTCTGTAACTTGTGTCTATGCTGTCTCCCAGCCTCGAGCTGTTTTTAGAATGGGAATGGGGGAAAGGGAGCAGAGGAATTTGTCTGAGGTTTTTTCAGCCCCCACTGGAGGATAGGGGAAGGCTCCTGCTGAGGTGGCAGGGCTCCAATGCACCCACCCTACCCTCCAGTGCTGCCTGGGAACCACTAGAATGAGATCCCTCTTCTCCCTTTCACTCCTCCCATTCTGAAAAAGGGACAGGTTGGAAGGCAGGGGGGCCTGTTGCTAGGGGAAACCAGCTGCAGGCTAGCAGCTAGATTCCCCTTCCCTGTGAACCCAACAATGAACTGCTGTTTGGTCTGGGGTAACACTGTCATTCAGAATACTTCCTGCAAAATGGTCTCGGTTACAGTGGGGAGCTGCACTTCTGTTTGAACCCTTAGGCTTTCTAATAAGAACCTCTTTTCCCAAAGATAACATCCTTTCCTCAGACATAATTCCCCTTGCTGAAAGAGATATTATTAGCTATTATCCATAACAGCTACTATCAGCCCCAGTGCAATGCTTCCAATTTTATCTAGCCCTCATTAACCTATTTCTTGCTCTCAGGTGCTTAGGTCTATAACCCTTCCTCCCACCTCCCTCATGCACTGACTTTCTTTGTTGTTATGGCAGCACAAAATGCCCCTTCTGTTCCATGGAAAGTTTCCTGTGATATTATGTAGTGGCCTAACGTGATACTGCACCAAGCAGAAATAGGATAAGGTGAGAGCTCATCATCCCTTTTAGTGGAACTTTCTGTTACATTTATCAAACAAAGTTTATGGTCTCTGACCAAATGGGAACAGGCCCCTTGAAGATATCAGTGGGGTTTCTTCATGAATTGCTTCATGGATGACCACAAACATTCTTTCTCAAAACTAACCCAAGACTTCTCTTTAGCAGTTTTCAGTTCACAGTATCCTGCTCACCAGTTCACCCTTATCCTCCTTTTGAGACATAGCTCCCAACTCTACCCCGATATCATTAGTTTGGAGCAGGGCTATCCAACTTGCAGCCCATGAGCAATGTGCAGCCCACAAGATGAATTCATGGCTCCCAGGCTCCTGATTCAGGTACTGCTCCCTCAATCCTTGTTGCTGCTGCTGGGGTCTCTGTGCTCCCCATCTTCCCCCCTCTCCCCAATTCAACTTTTGCTGCCTGCTTCTACCCCTGGGAACAGGGTGGGGTAGCCCGTATGGCCCAGGAAGGCTGTGTTTTGGGATGAATAGGACACCCATGTAGAGCTTCACAGTGCAGTGGGGACGCACGTATAGTGCATTAAGGAAGGAGTCCAGGCCACAGGGGATGTGTAGCCCATGCAGCTGGTGCCTCTGGCTGCTCAGAAGTTAAACAGCCTTGGTCTAGAGGATAAATTCCCTGGAAATATTTGGAGAACATTGTTATGGGTGATGCAAAATCATCTGGTTGGGCTGAAAAGTTGCCTCACATTTTAAGCTCCTAGAAACCTATTTATTGGGGAAAGGCAGGAGGAGGTTGTCAATGTTTTGGTGAAAAGTGTAGTTAATGAGCCAAATGATGACATAAGTCTTCCATTTATGGTGGCTGTAGGGCAACATCATCACTGAGCATGTATTGTGTCAACTTAATCTTCCCCAACCAAAGAGAGATTAGTAGTTACTCTTCCCTGTTGCACATTTTGTTGGTCTTTCAGGCTCTCTGGCCTCAGATTCCAACACTTTCCCCACATGGCATAGATTAGGAGACAATGTATCTAGTTAGACAGTGGTATGTTCTGAACCTCAGGACTTAGTCTGTTTATCTTTTTAAAGGCACAGTAGGTTCCATAAGAATCAAAAAGGCACAGCTCAAAATTAGAAAAAAAACACATAGGAAAAGACAAAGTCACTTTTCTTTCCAGATTTCTTCATAAGCAGGATTTGTAAATATTCACATGTCAACTTCTAGAGGCTTATAAATTAGGCCTTGCCCTATTTTTGAGAGCTTATCATTATAAGGTATAGTGTAAGAGTGAAGTCTAGCAAGTACTTGTGGTTCCTAAGGACAATTTTGAATCGCACAGTTCTATCCAGCCTCTGGCCCCATGCTACTTGGTTTTACCACTTAGTTTTTCAAGACATCTCCTTGACTTTCATAGAGGCATCTTCTATCTTCCTTTGTCTACCTTGATTTTCTACCCTAAATATCCAGTCCACTTTGGTCTCTGGGGGCATGTCTACATGAGATGTTTACACAAGTTGCTTAATTAGCCCCATAGTAAATGTCTCAGTGTCTACATATGCAGTGCTTTTAGGATGGAGTAAACTAATTAACTCCTCCATAGATTAGCATTTGTAAACACAAGTACTGTCCTATGGCAGCATTTTTTACTCTGCATCACCACATATGTAGATGCTGGCAGAGTTGGCTGGGGCATGAGGGTGCCTAGCAGCAAGCCCCATGCTCCAGCCAGCTCTTCCACAGCATGTTGAGCTGGGTCAGAGGAGCCCCAGGCTGGCAGGTTGACCTCCTGGGCTGCCTGCCAGGTAGGATTCCTCTGACTCATATGAATGTACTGTGGTCATATGAATGTGCTGTGCATGAATATACATGATGCCTGGGAGCAATAAGTTCTGGTGCAATATGCGCCAGAGTTTATTGCTGCACATTAATTGCATGTATAGACATGCCCTGTGTGAAGGAAGACAAGGTTGCACCAGCCTGACTTTACTAAAATCATCACGGAACATTAAATGATTAAGAGGAGAATCTGCTTCCTTTGTGGAGAGGATTTAAATTCTTATCTGATCGACCCCCTTGTTAGAGAAAATGAACACCTTCTGTCAGCCAGCTTGTTCCTTTCTAAGGGAAAGGTTTTAGAGCGCTTCCAGTTAGTTGCTTTCTTAGAGCTTGTAATAACCTCTTCCTTATTTTTCAGATATATAGAAGCATTTCAGTAGAGTTTTTCACATAAGGATTTTAGTTTGCTTTACAAATAAAAACAATCTAAGCCTTCCTGGATGTAGATAACTTTGTTATATCTATTTTAGAAATGGGCAAGGTGAGACAAAAGTAAGGTTAAATGACTTAGTGATTATCACATATTAAATCAGAAACAGCAGCAAGATAGAACCTAAGACTCCTAACGCTTGATCGCATACTCATAACTAGGTTGAATACCAATAGGTATTTACTTATTATGCCTTTAGTCTGAAACATAGAATATCAAATGCTGATAGATAAATAGGTGGAAGAAGTGCAATATTGTTTATATTTAAAATTCCAGTACTCATTATTACCTTTATGTGCATCACTAAAAGACTTGAATCAAGAAACTTAAACACAGACAGCCTGATTTTGATTTCACTTCTACTGTTATAAATCAGAAGTAATTCCATCTAAACCAATGGATTTACACTAGTATGAAACTGAGCATGAGAGAAGAACTGGTACCACAGTATACCTTTTCAGCCCCAAGTAACCATATGGATATGTTCAAGTACGCTTGCATAGGGAATCTGAATCTTAAAATTCATTAGCATGATTTCATGTATTGCCAATAACTAGGTTTCTTGTTTTAAAAAAATCAAATTGTGAGAAAAAATGCAGTTAGCATATCTGCATTTGTCACATCCCCCCCCCCCGAATGTGTGAACATTTGTCATTAACTTCAAGCATGAGAGATGACAGCTACTTTGACTTTCACCATTTGCTTCTCTTACAGTTTCACACCTTCTGGTTTCACTGAATTTTTTCTGGCTGACATATTTAGAATTACCCAGCAAAAGCCACCAGAGCTACAACAGAATATGGTGACCAGGAAATGACGTAAAGCAAGATGACAATCGAGACAACTTTGGCCATCTACCATTCATTCTTCATCCTCTGATATTGCCTCTGGGATTCTTTATTATCACCATCAGACCCAATGGTCTGAAACATCCTGGGGGAAAAAAAGCATTATTACAACAGGCACAACAACAAAAACTCTTGGGAGAGGAGGATTAAATAAATGCCTTCACAAAATGGGACAGACTGGCCCCTAACCAGGTAATGCTAAAATGACCCCCAGACCATATGCCATTTTGTACAACTGCTCTGAAATTGAGGCTCTGTCCTGCTCATGCTAATCAATGGCAAGATTCCCTTTGACTTCAGCATGAGCAAGACAGAGTCCAGTGTTAACGATATCTTTCCAGAATAAGGCTCTTGATTATTCAGATACCTTTATTAATCTATACATTGTCCGTTAGGGTAAATCAGAGATGTGGGGTGGAAACATGTCTGGAAAATTTTCCAGTGCCTTATTTTTCTGTGTGCAATTTTCCATTTCTAAATATTCATTGTTTCATAAAATTCATTAGTAACAATGAATGGATGCCAATACAATATTAGGTAAGCTTGGCAGTTTCAAAGTTGTAATTGTTTTTCAGGTGATTATCCCTAGGAAGTGTGTGAGAAAGTACATATATGTTTTATTGATTTTTAAACAGGAGGGTAAATACACTCACATAATAATCCAAACCAAAAATCAAGTTATGAGTTTCACCTAATTGGCTGTGCAGGTCAAATAAAAACCAAAGCTAAAATTCTTATTTCATCTCAGACTGGAAGCAGAAGCAAAAGCAAAACCAAAACTAAAACTGTGATTAATTTTTGTTTCACTTTCAGTTCAGCAAATGCACAAGCAGTGTCTCATTTCTGTCCTTGAGTTGGGAAAGCTGGAAGTATTTGCATAAAATCTGTTAGTTTTTTAGTACTTTTCGTTTGAAGTAGTCATCATAATGCCTAATCAGAAAAAAAACTAGTGTGGGGCATCATTATAGTGAAGTGCAAGCCACTGAAAGAAGGAAGAAAGTTGGTAGATGTAAATATTGTGCCCAGGAGTATGCTAACAACACAATGAGAATGAAGAAACATTTATAACACGTAGAAACTGTCCTGAAAGAATACAAGCCATATACAGAAAGCTATTACAACCAAGCAGTAGAACAAAATCATCTGAATAAAGTCTACTTCAGGAACCCTGTGCAAGTAAACAAATGAATATGTTAAACAACACACAGTATAGACTAGCATCTATGTTGTTTTAAAACATTATAATTTTAAAAGTTGTTAATACAACTCTGGACTATTATTTATTTATTTAAAATATTTGTATCCTACTTTTCTGCTTGCACTAAGCACCCAAAGTGGCTTGGGCTTAACAATATATACTTTTTAATTACACAGTAGAAAAATAGTTAACTATTTCAGCCCAGCAGAGTGAGCCGTGTCCTCTGGCTGATGGCAGAGGCCAGACTATACTTCCTTTTGGCTCTGCTGTGCCAGAGCAACTGAGCAGCAGAGTATTTTTTCTGGCAGGGAGGCAGGAAGCAAGCTGCCTGCTGCTTCTCCTTCTGATGGATAAGGCCAGACTAGAATAGGCTAAAATAAAAACCTTTCTCCCCTTGTTGCAAGAACTTGGTAGCTCAAGTGAAATAGCAGATTGGAAAAAATGGAAAATGAAAATGTTGAGCTGCCAGGTTTGGGGGAAGAAGAAGCAGGGTCCTCACTTTCAAGATCATTGTCACCAGATATGTGATCCACCATGAGTATCTGTTCAAGACAGTCAAGCTTTTTATTAAGCTTTGTGGACAAAATGTCAAAAGAAGATCATGAAAAAGCAGATGAGACATTAGCTTGAGCTATATTTGCAAGTGGTACACCTCTTTCCATAACTGAAAATCAATACTGGAAGGAACATTATGAACTATTTGCCCATCATATAAGTTACCATCACATTATCGTTTATCACATTCTCTCTTAGATAGAGAGTATGGTAGAGTTCAAACAATAGTTATTCAAAACATTGGTCAAGCAGAATCACTAACTCTGATGTCAGGTGGATGGACTGATATACAAGGAAATTCTGTATTGAACATCATGTTAGCAACACATGAACCAGTATTCTTGAAAGCAATCACTACCACATCATCTTGTCATACAGGTGAATACATAGCAGAATTACTGAGTGAAGAGATTGAAAGTGCAGGTCCCTCCAGGGTACAAGCCCTTGTAACTGATAATGCAAGTAGCATGCAAGCTGCGTGGCAAATATTAAAGGCAAAGTATCTTCATTTAACAATATCTGGCTGTCTTGCTCATGGGTTGAATCTTCCAGCAAAGTACAAAGTAAGTGTGAATACAATGAAGGCAATATTGGTAAACTGCAAAGTGATTGTGAAGGTATTCAACAATCATTATGTTGCTAATCAGACTTTGAAGAAATTACAGAAAGAGAAGCAGGGGAAGGAAAGTGCACTTTTATTGCCAGGAGAAACTAGATGGGGCTCAGTTACAAAGTGTTTACACAGTTTGCTGCACACAAAGAACTGTTTGTAGAGTGCTTCAATAGAAGACAGTATCCCAGATAATTCCCATGATCTTTCAGAAGCAGATTCTCAACAACGATGTGTTCTGGGTTCGAGTTCAAGGAGCATTCAATTTGCTACTACCAGTTACAATGGCTATTAAGAAACTTGAAGGAGATGCACCAAGCCTTTCAAATATTTCAGAGATATTCAGACAACTGAATGAAAAATCTAATTGAGCTTTTCCTGCCGTCACCTCTATCCCAAAAAGAAGTAAAACAAATGTTTACTAAGAGATCTGAATTTTGCTGTCATCCAGTTCATCTGGCAGCAAATCTTTTGGATCCTCAACACAGAGGAGAACATTTATCAAAAGATGAATTATCTATTGCTTTTGATACAATTATGGAAGTACTTAAGAATGTCCCCAACATAGACAAAATAGCTGTGACGACAGACATTGCTGAGTACCGCACCAAAAAAACTTTGAAGCAAAGACATCTTTGGGCGGGCAGCAGAGAATGTCTCCTCTCACATGGTGGAAGGAATACTGTAACACCTGACTGTTGTCCAGGATTGCTCTAAGAATCCTGAGCATTCCACCAACAGCAGCTTCTTGTGAACTGAGCTGGAAGGCTTTCAGCTTAATCAAGACAAAAAAGAATAGACTAACAAATGAACACACCGCTAAGCTTGTTTCTATTTCTCAAAATCTCTTGCTTCTGGAGAATCAGTCAGAAGCAACATTAGTGAAGAAGATGCAGTGTGATGATAAGTTGCCCTTGCCCGTAGTCTCATTGGTAAAACCCATCTTTTAGTGAAAGAGAATGTTGTTCAAGTAGCTGTGAATCAGATTTGCCTCAATCTGATTCTGAAATGGAACTAATAAATAGTGCAACTGAGTCTACATATAGTGACAGTGAAACTGGAGGTACCACTATGACCTCAGTGGAAGAAAGTTAAACTCTGTTGAAGTAGATGAATGGATGACCACGGTATATCATGCACAGTAGGGCTGTATGAAGCTTCTGTCGCCAGTTCGATTCAGAGGAGATTTGGCCTGATTTGGTGGCCAAATCTCCGAATCCAAATTGAATCAGGAGACCCATTAAAAGGTCCAAATTGAATTCAAAGCCTCCAAATCAATTCAGCGAGATTCAGAGATTTGGATCAGCTGGGAAGAGGCAATCAGCTGGGTGGCTGCATGTTCTCCCACGGCTCCCCTGGTTCTGCCTGCCTCTCCCTAGGTTGGGGAAGCTGCAAGAGAAACCCCCACGGCTGCTCTGCCTAGCCCCAGCCTCCTGGCACTTATAAAAAAAAAGCAAAAATGGAGCAGTGCACACTCGGGCAGCTGGCCCCAGTC